CTCGTTACTGGTCTCCAGCCAGACATGGAGCCATTGACCACAATTCTTTGCATGCGGCCATCCAGCCAGTTCTTTATCCACCAAGTGGTCCATCCATCACATTGATGTCTCTCCAATTTAGAGACAAGGATGTCGTGTGGGACAGTGTCGAACGCTTTACACAAGTCCAGGTAGATGACATCAACTGCTCTGCCCTTGTCCATCAGTTCTGTAGCCCCATCATAGAAGGCCACCAAATTGGTCAGGCAAGATTTCCCCTTAGTGAAGCCATGCTGGCTGTCACCAAGCACCTTGTTGTTTTTCATGTGCCTTAGCATGCCTTCCAGGAGAATCTGCTCCAAGATTTTGCCAGGCCCAGAGGTGAGACTGACTGGTCTGTAATTCCCCGGGTCATCCATTTTTCCCTTCTTGAAAATGGGGGTTATATTTCCCTTTTTTCAGTCATCGGGAACTTCACCTGACTGCCACGATGTTTCAAATCTGATGGACAGTGGCTTAGCAACTTCATTCACCAGGATGGCCAGCAGCACTTGGAAAAAAGCACAGGGAGAATGGCAACTCAGTCATCAAGATACCTCATAACTCCTCTACTCCAGGTATCCCTTTAAGAGAGGCCGGATGAGTTAAAAGGACAGCCAGTTGAGTTTACTCTGGAGTTAACATATGAAAGGGATCAGTTTCCTCAGTTTTTCCTGCCCTCTGCTTTAGAAATGTTCAAGACCCTCTTAAGAGGATCTGCTGAACCATTTTGGGTGCACTGGGTGTTGGCACACACATGCAACAGCTTTATCTACCTACAAGTCATCAGCACCATGGGTGGGAAGATCCTAGTTAGACACAGAAAGGTACTTGCATGCCTAAAACAAATGCAGCTGGGACACAAAATGTTGCTTCCAATAAAAATGCAATAACTTGGAAAATCTTACCAATAGGTTTGATGAAACCAGTGATTTATTATGAAAATTCCCCCATATCTTCCCTTTTAGGGGGGTGTAAAACAAATCAGTTTAGTTGCCTCTGCTGAAATGGATCACCCAGTCACCTTGGTCTTGGGTGTCATCTGAGACTACCCTGATTTGAGGTACTCTTCATGAGAACCCAAACTGTGACATAAGGTGGATTGGTCTCCTGAGCATCCCAGGTCCTTATGGGAAGCCAGGTAGCCTGAGACAGGACACCATCTGTTAGACTGGCTTTCTCTGGAAACTCATCTGTGTTCTGGCAATAGTTTGATGAAGTTCATGTGTCTGGGTAATTTTATTCTTTTTTAGTTCAGATGAATCAGCAGACTTGAGTCCAAAATCCATACAAGTTAAAAAAAACCCTTCTGTCAGTCTACAGCTTCCAAATGTTTTCAATTGAGTTCTCATCTACTCCAACCTCTAAAAAGATCTTGACTTCTAAAGCATGAGGCATCCTCCCATTGTCATTTCTCTGCCCCAGTACTCAAATGCACAGTTAATCCTTCTGCTAGAACAAGTTCCCTTCTGCTGTTCTTTGATGGAAAGTGATATAACCAGTAAGTACTGACATTTAAAATAACATAGGTGCCACCCACAGTGGTGGACAATCCCTGTTACATAGCTGGGATTGAAAGCTGTCCGCAAACTCAAGCACTTCAGTAGTGACTTCCACTGACAACCATAAAAGCTTGGGGCTTTGTTTGTTTTTTAATGATAAATAGTCACTCTGGAGCACTATCGAGTCATCTAACTGTTATTATTTTTGGCTAGATATTTATGTTGCAGCAATGCCTCACTACATACAATTTGCAGGCTAAAACTCCAGCATCCTGGGTGCTGTACGAGCCTAGTAAACTATCCTGTCTCTTAAGAAATTCTCCTCTAGATCAATAGACAGAGCCATGCAAAAGAATGATGTAAGGGGCAAGCCATGACAAGGAATGAATAGGATAGCAGAACACTGACAGGGCTATCATGGGAATAAAATACAAAGATGCTATTAATGTCACATCAAGGTTGCACAACCAACAGATGAAAAATGAAACAATAAGATTCCTACAACTTCCCAAGAATGGCAATGCTGTCATCTCATTTACTGTAAGCCCTATAGCTGAAAGCACATTTACAGGGTATTTGAAACGAGGTGTTGAAAAATACCAAGGAATGAGAATATGATGCATGTGCAGCAGGACTGAATTATTACTGCTGGTTTATCTGTAGGTTTCTGGTTTTAATAACAATTCTCAGAATATCTGAGGGGGGGGGGGGGGGTGTTAATCCGGGGGGGGTTAGAGAAGAAACAAGGAAAATTAAACACAGAAAGAAAAATGTAAAATCTCTGGCAAAACATCAGGTTGCCCTAACTAATAATAACCTTCTGCTAGCAGCTATTGATATGGACTAAGAAGTGAGTGTCTCCCAGTGCCCTTATGCCTTGGAAGTGTGAATCATGGAATCTTTAGGGTTGGAAAGGATCTTAAGATCATCTAGTTCCAACCCCCATAGGGACAGGGACACCTCACACTAAACCATGTCACCCAAGATGCTCTGACTATGGGAATCAGCACTTTTGTTAGCTTCTTGACAGTTTCCCCCTAACAAAATTATTCAAAAGTCAAAGTCAGTGAGGACCATTCGGGTGACTGCCTTAGATTCTGAATCTGGGATGAACATGCCATGTTTCATATTGGAAACCTAATATATGAGCAAAGTTAGGCAATTTTAAAAGACATTTTTCCACATCACTCAAAGCAGAGAAGGATTTCCCCCCACCCCCAAATGATGGAAAATTAAACTCACCTTTGTCTAAAGAAGTAGAGACCTTGCAAGCTTTGGAAAATGTACTTTCAAGGGCAATGTGTCAGTCTATTATGAATGAGAAAAACAAGACTACAGTACCAGGGTTCACTACCAGACTGGCTGACCTAAGAACAGGCAGCTCTTGGCTGCACGATCGCTGCTTACTGCCATTCGTATCAAGGATGAGTATTAACAGCCAAATGGATTGTAGTTACAGAATGAGGTAAAGGGGGTGGAAAAAGCAGCAGAAGGCAGTAAGAAATCCTTTTTTTTATATGAATAAAGTTTTATTGAATTTTAGACAATTAGAAAGAACAAAGAGGAGCAAACAGTCTCATGGAGGGTAAGAACCAGAAGAGCTTTCCCAGTAGAGGAGGGGACCTGCTGAGGGCAGTGTTCCTGTAAATGTCACACAGGGGTTGTTATAACAGCAGAGAGAATGTGTCTGGGCTTTTCTTTGATTGTTTTCCTTTGTGTTTTCCCCTCCCACATTAAGGTTTCTAAAGCCACTCTTCTTCCCCCTTCAATCCTACCACCCAGCAGCAAAGTGAGCAGACAGGCAGGAAAGAGGACTGCTCTGGTAGAACATGTGTAGACACACACAGAGCAACCTCCTGCCTGCACTGCTGCAGGTGTTTGCACCCATTCTGGATGGAGTTGTGTTTTGGGGAAGGAAGGGAGGTTGGATTTCTCCCCCCCCCCTTTTTCCTTTTGTTTTTGTTTTAAGCAAAGAAGGCACAAATTCTCAGCCAAGCTTCAAACCTAGTGCTGCCTGGGAGCCCCCAGCCTCCCAAAGAGCCAGTTTGTCCGTGTGGGAACCCAGCCCTCGCCTCTCCCCTCCTCTTCTTCAGAGTCTGTGCTTGCATTTGAAAGGTACTGCTGAGGCAGAGGGGCCTGCCCAAGGTTTGTGCACTGCTAGGGAAAGGGAAACCGTGCCAGGACAAGGAAAGTGGGGATGAGGAGGAGTCTGCTGGCTTAAACAGACCCTTTATCCAATGTGAGAGCTACAGAAAGTCACCTGTGACTCCCCACATTGCTTTTCCAAGAGCAGACCTAGGATGGCTCTGGTGCTTTTGGAGGTGCCCACTGGCTTTACATGTGCAAGGGTTGGTGTTATGCAGGAGGGCTGAGACACCCATCCAGGCACGGTCCTTTTGAGCCAGTGCTCTCTAAGAGGGTAAGTCCCAGCCCTCCAAATGGCACCAGGTTCCTTCAGCAGCTTCAACTCTTGGCTTTTATTAAGGCTATTTAGTTGCAATAGAAAAAGGATAGGTGCCAGCCACAGTCACCTCCCTGCTCCGAGGAGATGGCAGAGCTACTGGCACATGCCACCAGTACCCTGCCCCGGGACACTGAGGGAAGTAAGGGAGGCAGAGAGATAGTATGTGGGCTTCCACAGGGCTGCCCCCTCTGTTAAGCCCCTGCTTTCACTCTAAGGAGAGATGTGGAAACAAATCCTGCCAACCTCAGCGTCTGTGAAGTCTGTGCGCGTGGGAGAGCTGGAAGGAAAACTGTGATGCCTCCTTGTGAGGGCCCCAAGCACAAACACGTGCCCTGCAGGGGCAGCACTGCACAGGCTGGCTAAGGAAAACCCACCATGCAAATACCAAAGCTCTGGGATTTGAAGCCACTTGCTCCAAAGCAGAACAACCCAGGCACAGCAGATGCCTCTGGACCTGCCTTGCTGCTCTGCCACACCACCCTGCTCCTCTCTGCCTCCTGAATAACCCCAGCAACAACCAAAACCAAAACCAAAAAGAAGCAAGCCCTACAGAAGCAGCAGTAGCAGAGATGCACCCTTACCCTGCACCGAGTGTCTCAGGGGAAGATGCTCGGACAGCTGCATCTTCCACAGCCATGACCAACATGAGCTCTGGTGGTACCTCAAGCCAGTGCAGGAAGAATATCCACCCTGAGGAGGACCCGTGTGTGTCTGTGTGGGTTTGTGTGCGTGCTGGGGTGGGGGAAGAACTGCAGAAAATAAATACAAATGTTCCCCAGTCAGTGCCTTCAGCCAGACATCCCCTTGGCCAGGCTGGTGGCTGTGCCTTCATCTTGCCCCTCCAGCCTGGTCCATACCTCCTGGCCCTGGTGTGCTGCCCTTCCTCATTCAACAGTGGGACTGGGGCCGTGGGGAGAGAGCTGGGGCTGCCATCTTGAGGCATACCCTGCCTCAGCACCTCTCCCTGCCCCGATGCAGGCTGTCGTCCTCTTGAAAATAAAACAGCAACAACAACGGAAAAAAATAATATATATATATCTCCCCAAACCTCCCTGAAAGACCCAAATGGATGGAATCAATCCCTAGAGGGAAACAAAAGCAAAAGTCCCCCCAAAGTCAGGGCTGGGTGCACATCCCAGCCAGTGCTCAGCAGCTGGGGAGCACATCCCAACATCCCTGCTCCTCCGGCCTTGGCACATCTGCGGCATCCACCGGCACAAGGAGCTCCAATGCGGCACAGCCGAGGATGTCCCACTAGCCAGCAGCAGCCTCCGGAGGGGAGTGCAGGGCAAGAGGCAAGTGTGTGTGTGTGTGTGTCCCCTGCTACCTCGCTGCCTTTCAGGAAGGAGTAGGGTCTCTTTGCCCCCACCAGGTGGGAGAGGTCCCTTGCTTGGCTCTCAGCTGCCGGTACGGCCCTACACAAGGGAGCCAGCGCGGCTCTGAGCGGGCACCATGACGGGGACAGCCCCGATGCGCTCCAGCGTGGCTTGGCTGACAGCATAGGAGCGAGTGTGTGGCAGCCGTGGCTTCCTGCTGACTGAGCCATTGCTGCGCATCACCTCCTGAGGGGACGGTGCCGTGCTGGCCGTCACCACCAGCGTCTTAGGGGGAGCCGGGGATGGGTGGCCGCCGTTGGCGTAGACGGGACGGGTGCTCGTGCTCCCTGAGCGGGAGAAAGGGGGCTGGTGGCTGTCGTTGGCGTTGCTGAAGCGGGTGAAGGAGTCTGTGGCATGGTTGGCTTTGGGGTCGTTCCAGTAGCGGCTGTTGTAGGTGTTGGAGGAGGTGAGGGTGTCGTTCTCCGATGAGGATGCATCAGCATGGAATGTCTTCGCAGTAGAGGAACATTTTGGCGGCAGGTCATCTTCCCTGTGAGGGAGAGGGCACATAGAGGATGCTGTCCCATTTGCCCAGCACCTCCCCACCACATCCTGCTGGGGTCAACACTGTCAATTCCAGGTGAAGGACAGTTCCAACATGAGCTGATATTGCTTTTTGGCCCATTTACTCACCCCTCTTTGCAGGACCCACCTCTTTGCACATTAATTCCTCTGTGTGCCTACCACTGAGGCAAACAACCCACACTTATGTGTCTAGGGGGGCAAAACCAGTGGCTGTATCAGCCACTAGTACTTCACAGGTGGTAAGTATGACTGTACAACCAGTACAATGAAACAGATTCTTAGCAGGGCTGCAGATAGCCACCAGAGGGAAACACTGGGGCAGTAACACCAGGGAAGATCAAAGTTCTACCTCCAGTGCCTTTCAGCTATCACTGCCTGATGTTGTGGTTCTAGATCCCCAGCATGTCATTCTTCTACAGAGCTAACACTAAGTCAAAGCTCTCAATAAAGACAATATTGAAAACTACATCTGTGATTACCATTCTCCGCTTGCTCCCTTTATTTTCTGGACACACAAGGACATCTTCCCCTGACCCACTGGAACAAACCCAGGATTAGCAAGCATAAGTTCTGATTGACTTCCTATCTGCTACTTTTGCTAAGCAGTCAGAGATTCCCTGCCACCAGCTTTCCCTGCCTCTTACCTTATCTCATTGGGAATCTCCTCCTCCTCTTCTTCTTTGTGTTTATTTTTCCAGTAAAACAGTGCCACGGCCACCAACACAATGCAAACCACGAGCACGACAGCACCTGTGGCCACTGCTCCTGCAATCAGGCCTATACTTCGGGGATGGGCTGCAGGGATGATTGAACAGAGAATGGAGAAGAAATCAGGGCTGAGCTGTGGCCATCCATGAGCATTTGAAGCTACCATGGCTTGGAAGGGGAAAAAGGCAACATCCCCTTTCCAGGGCACAACAATCTTCTGATAGAGAGGCATACGGTGGCTCACAGCAAACATGGTTACATGCTTTACTGTCACAAGGCAGAAGCAGGTAACCAAGCCTCCCTTGGCAAAATACTTACGTGCAATGACTTGCAGGTCCAGAAGGCAAGTGCTGGTTCCAATGGCATTTGAAGCCACACATTGGTAAAGACCTGAGGACACAGTGCTGATATTTCGGAGAGTGACAGTGCCCTGGACTTGGTCTAGTCAGAGAGAAAAGAAGGATTTAAATCCCTCCCCTCCTTGAGGAAAACCATGAAAAGGCAAAGCCAGCAAATAGAGAGTTTTGATGTGAGAAATAAATCAGGAAACAAGCTTGAGATGGAAGCACTGTGTGTGTGTGCGTGTGTGTGCATGCACACACCACCCCTCCCAACCATAGGCAAGATTAGGTCTTAAGGAGCTTACACTAGATGTTTCTTTTTCTTCTTATAGCTGAATTTCTGCAAATGAAAGCTTGGGACTCTCAGCATTGTGTGAGAAAAAGGAGGAAGGAGGATATGTCCCGTTACCTATACCCAGATTCATCTACCAAGGTCAGTCCTGCCCTGAAGAACCCCTGCCATGCCCATCCCTGGGCTTCCCACCTCATGCTCTGCCACTTTTCTTCTTTCCTGAATTATGTAAAATGAAAATGCTTGTGTATTCTTAAAATACAGAAAAATAAAGGGCAAAAGTACAGCTATCACTACTTGGTCAGGACACCTAGGCTTAGAAATCTTATGGATGGGATTTGGAGCTGGGCAATACCCAGTCTGATCAGAGCCTTGCTTTTACATACGAATGAAAGGTAGCTATAGCAGAGAACAGGGATCTTGATGTGAGAAGCTCGGCAGTATTTTCTTGGGATGATTCTGCTTCCCTTCTCCCAGTTTCTAGTCTATGATCCTTTCATTTGGTTTAAAATGCAGGTGAGTCAGCAGCTGAGATTTCCAGCCACATGCCAACATCTGGCAACCATGTTGTCTCTCTCCCATTCAACCAGATCCTTGTTCCTCAAAGGGGAACATGTTTCAGTATCAAAACCCCATGAAAGTTTAAGTGGCCACTGGAGGATACCTAGTCCACCATGGGCTCTAGGAATCTTTGTTCCAACAAAGTGACCATGCAAGTGGTGACAAACACTCAATGAGCCATGCCACCTCTGGCAGCTCAGAGAAAGGAAAGCCCAGGCTGTCACTTGGGAAATAAGAGGATAATCAACAGAATGAGCACCTTGTGTGGCAGTTGGGGGTAACTTGGGAACATTGTCCAGTTTCTCCCAGAGGTATGTTGGTCGGGGAATGCCTTCTTCCGAGCTGCAGGTCAGTGTGATATCGCTGCCCACGTCCAGGGACCCCTGGATTCTGCAAAGCGGGGCAGATGGAGGAACTGCGAGAGAAGAGGGGAGGGCGACAGCAGGTCAGGAAATACAACCAAACAGTGGAGTTCAGGCTCTTTCTGGGTATGGGCTACTGGGGAAAGCAAGGACACTGGCAAGAGCTGACAAGGGGAAAAGAGGGAGGTAGCAGACAAGTATCCCTTAGGATCTGCGGCGTGACAATTCACAAAGATTCCTAACCCACCGGCCTATCAAGTTTACAGACCACTGCTGACTTTCACAGGACTCAGTTATCTTAGATCCCTCCCTAGAGAAAAAGGTGAACATTTCTGTCTTTGAGACAGTAAGAGTGGTGAGAGCTAATAGAGGTTGCTGCGGTCGGGTTTTGCTTTCATATCCCTATAATGGCACATGCTCTGGAGTACTTAACATCCTAGGGATCATCCAGTATTAACTGCTTTCATGAAAAGGAAGCAAAGATCTCTAGTCATTCTCTTCTCCTCAAAACTCTTATGGTCCCTTCAGCTCTCCAGGATGCTCTCATACTTAATTCATGCTTCTTTGCAACTCCACAAAAGTTTTCTCTTCACCATATTTGAAACTCCATTACATATTACCTACATATGAAGACTGTGTGCCCTACAAACTCCTACAATACCATCCCTCACCACAGGATGCCAATGGGCTTCGATGTGTACGCTACCGTATTTCTCTGTTGTGATGCACTATCATGCACAGAGAATCCTTTGTCCCCCTTTCTCCCATCTTCCTCATAATACCAACAAACGCACCCAAGACAGTAAGTCCAATGACTCCAATATTCCTGACGCCTCGGTCTGGAAGATTGTTGACTAAGCACTGGTATGTGCCAGTATCCGATAGCTGAGTGTTGTTAATGAAGATCGAGGCACTGGTGGTTGGCATTGTCACAGCAAACCCCACTCGCCCATAGAATTGGGGTGCACCACCAAAGATCTGACCCCCTTGGTAGAGAATAACCTGGAAAAGAAAAGAGAGCTCAAACAAAACTGAGTAAGGAGAAAGAACAGCACGCAAAATGTGAGCTTCCAAAGCCAAATGGACCAGTTCCTTAAAGATCTCTAAATAACCAGACCTCAGTATATAGTTGTCCAAGGCAGACCCATCCTAGTAGAGGTGTTTTCACTAAAAGAACACACTCTGTAGCCTATTTTATGTAATAAAGATGTTCACAAAGATAACAGAACAGATAGATACCCCGGTCTTCCATAGCTGGATTGGCAGCACCAGCCTGCTTCATATAATACTCATCACCCACTTGGACAGAATCAATGTAGAGAAGCAGAGATTCTCTGCAGGTCAGTGAGTACTTTGCTGAGAAACACCTCCCCAGTGGACAGTATCATTTGGAGTCTCAGCCGGTAAGGTGCTGCCATGATTTCACACTTACTGCAGATCACTGGGATGAACTGAATGACAGGCAATGTAAACCCTGAACCTGCACAGCCTCTGCCAGCCAGATGGCTTACATAGATGTATGTATTCAGACCAAGTCCCTGAGGAGCAAGTACTCCTCAGTGCAGGTTCTCACAACCAAATAACAAATGTGATAAGGGCAGTGTGACCCAAGACAGATGCATTTCAGAGCAATAGCAATCTTCTGCTGTCAGAGTTTGTGGGCAAAAAAACAGATCTCAGCTTATGATGCTTATGCCCACCACAACAGATTCTCGTTTGCAGATGAATGAGAATGGCACTTGCATAAGCAACTGACAGTTCAAAAGAAAAGAAGCAAAAGGGAAGAGTCTATGGATTGTGTTATGGCATTTTACATAGATTTCACCCGTTTAAGTGTGAAGCTGCTTTTAGGTCCTCCAAATCCAATATACAGTGCACCAAAACATGGATTACATCTCCTGTGCTCTTTTGAACAGAAAGGTCCAGGCAGCAACACAGTCCCACATACACCTGCCCCAAATGCACTTCCAGCCAAGGTGGCCAAGGACACAGTGTGCATCGGTTAGCAAAGCACTGAAGAAAACAGATTCATGTAAGATCCAAGGGGCATGTTCAGCAATGAAGGGACAATGAAGCTCTGGGACAACCAGAGACTCAACATTGTAAAGCATCTACATCCAGATCAGCATGAAAAGGGTGAAGAAAAGGAAATTCCCAAAGAATTACATGTTTCGGTAAGAAAGGACCTACCTGTTGAGGCTGGTTGGCGTTAGAAAGAGGAATGACCATCCAGATGACATTAAGGTTAGTGAGAGCAGCGTTAGTGGTGAAGGTGCAGGGCAATACTGCTGTCTGGCCTCGTGCAACCTGGATACTCCCTGAACTGACTGACACCTCCAGAGGACTCACCAGACCTGGAAAGAGAAGAACAATCAGTTCAAGCATTTCCAGAGGACACCTAGTGCAAGCATTGCAAGTGGCCACATACATTTTCAGGTCATGACAGCAGCATCCTGGTTTTACACAGTTATACTTTACTGATTATTTCAGGCTAAAAAGAATTCTATTCCTCCTTCAACAGATCAGGCTGCTCTCATGCAGATCTTTTGCACAGACATGTGCAGATAGGTGGCCCTTTTAAGTGAGAGCACTCTAGTTTCAGAGCCTCTGAAAACAATAGGTTTTGTTTTAGGAACAGGGAGAGCTGTAGGAGTAGCCAAGCTGTGCCTAAGAGATAACAAAGTCTGCTTTTGAACCCATCAATCTTAATGATACCCAACATCACTGAAACAGAAAAGGAAACCGCACTCCACAGATTTTCACCAAGCAGTAAGAAGAGTTCTTCCCATGCTTCTATGTCCCACAAAGTCCTGCATAAGCAGAAACATTTTAGTGCCACTTTTAAAGAGTTAAAAATGTAAAACTCTTACAGACCAGGTATTACTATCTAGCTGCTGAAAAATAACTACTGATAATGAAGGATCTCATCAAATCTCATTTATTTCTCAGCATTTCCATCATTCAGTTATTTGCATTCCACACAGGCTAGACAAGGGCTCAAAGCCGGATAAGCCCCAGCTTCCCAGCACAGCAGCTAAAAGGCTGAAGGTTTTAGACTGCAAGTCACACAGGGAAATGCCTCCTACTGCCAATATCTCATCAAATGAAACTAACCAAGGATTAACCATCACCACTTTGAATACCACTGGAATCCTTTAACCCATTTTTCCAAAAAAAAAACCTCAAAATATTGACTCCAAAAATCATCTCTCTATGTGACAGCTCACCATCTTCTTGCTAAAAGTATGTCGGAGGCTGTTGGAGGAGAAGGTAAGGAGTTTTCAAGCTCTTAGGCAACATCAGAATATTAAGTTGCACCTAGGTGTAGTCCATGGACTACCTTATTGTCTTGTTGACCCCAGGAAAGGCTGCCAGCAAAGCTTCTATTTTCTGCTAAGAGACACTGGTTTGCTGTAGGTGAAATGCTTCACAAGAATAAGCTTTTCTCTGAACTATGAAGAAATAAAACAGGATGATTTCTGAGAATAAGGTGGGTCTTGTTCCACACACTTGTCTTCTGTGGGATCCTTCCCAGCCTTCCTAATGGAGAGATGGGCTGCTCAAAGCCTGAAGGCACTGAGCTTCAGATGCTACAGGTCCAAAGTTTCTAGCATCTGAAGAGCCTATGATGACTGTCTGGGTTTGGACTGATTGCCCTGTAGCTGCAGTACCCCAGGTTGCTGCAAATCCTCAGCAACCTTTCTCCTCTGTGTCTCCCTCCTCCAAAGCCTCAGGTAGTTCAGGGAAGCTCAGAAGTGCTTCAGAACACAGCTAGACAAAATGCTGTTTTAATGCCTCCAAGTCAAATTCATTACTTTCTTACTTTGCACAAAAAAAAAAATACCCTGACTTTCCTCAGAGGCTTCGCACATGTTTAAAAGTATGGAACATTTTGGAAGGTCCTAGGGAAATAGTTCATCTCTGGTGCTAACATCTCAGAGAATTAGGTGCCTGGATGAGGAGCAGCAGCTGAGATCCATCAATCTCCTATGCAGGGCTGTCAGCAGCAAGTGGAAGTAAATCATTTGAAGAGCCAGTAATAAGCACCACCTTTATTACAAAGCATCTGCCTTCCAGTTGCCTCTGTGGTGAACAGACTGGGAATGGTTTTGGACTCCTCAATTGCTTGTGTCTGGCCAAGCAGTGGCAGTAGCCCAGAAGTGATCCATGTCAAGTCTGGAGGTGACACTTACTGAATATGACCCTGATGAGGGATCATCTTTTCTGCAGGCCTAGAGTTGAAGGCTACCGTGCCATGACTACTCATCCAGTCTAACATCATCCATGTGCTAAACAGTGCGCAGAGTTACAACAATTTGGACTTTTATTGGATTAACTTCTTGTTCCACCATGATGCAGAAAGCTCTTCTGCCATGTTCAGCATAGATTTAATAAGATGTTCTCCATGAGAGGAAAACCAGCTACTCATCTGATCTGGAACAGCAGCACGTATTCTTCAGCCCCATCCCTTATCCCCTCCAAGAAAACCCCACACATTCAAATTGTCAGTCAGAAAAAGTAATGCTTAAGTGTGAGTATTCACTAATAGTAAATTCACTGAAAAAGGCAGAGTTTCCAGTTTGCATTGCAAGGTTAGTTACATCAATCACTCAGTCATCAAGCTGATGTGATTTTCATACCTTGCCACAATCTTGCTACTCCTAATATTTACTATTAGTTGATTGCAAACATCCTGCAGAATAATAAAAACACTAAAATAGAACATGCATAATTTCTTCACTTTATAAATATCTTTTCAATACATTTGGGAATTTCCCAATCTACTTATAAACACTTTATAAAACGAAAAGAAATAGATAATATTCCCTTTGCTTTGCCAGTACCCAACTCCCACCCTGCAGCATCCCACAGCCCCATAATCCCCTTCCCCTTTCAAGGGACCACAGCATCCTTTTTAATTTGAATGCCATGAAGTGGTTTCAGGGGAGAAGAGGGTGCACTAAGGAAGAGCTGAGGTACCTGTCCATTTGCCTTGCTAAAGGGAGCTGTTTTGAACCTGACATGCAAGATGAGCACCCCACACAGACCATGCTGTCCTGTCTCTGTCTTGTTAAACCAGCCGGCAAGCCAGCTCCTCAGACTTGCCTTTGCCTCATATATCCCAGGGCTTGTCAGCTGCTCTTTGGCCCTGGATGTGTACGAGGAAGGAGGCATTTAAAGGCAAAGACTCGTTTTGTTAAGCTAAGTGGCACCTGCAGGGCTACAGCGGAGGAAAACACACACAACCGCTTCTGACAAGTAAGCTTAAACAAGGCAATAGGAGAGTCAGGAGACCAAAGGTAGGCAAAGTCCTCTTCCACAAGCATAAACAAGGGAAGCAGGTGTGTTAGCACAGCACTGGGGGGCATCACTATAACACAACTCCTCTCTTAGGGAGACAGTTGAAAGACCAAAGATCAAATCCTCCTTAGAAACTACAGTGTCTTTCTTTGTCTCTCAGACTATGTATCTACATGACTGCATCCTTCCACACCAATACTCATGGCCCAAGACACAGGTGGATGCTCACAAAGACATATATGCTTATAAACCTGCATGCCCAGGAAGACACCTAGTAGGAAAACTCAACCAAACGATATATGTTTAAACATTCCAAAGTTAGGGGTTGCAAAAACATGGCTTTGCATTAATGCAAAAGGAGGGAGGCAGGGGAGAGAGGGAGGAAGAGATCTCAAATTTAGCATATCCACTGGGATGAGGATTTTTCAATGCAGCCTAAGGAATGAGGACTTGAATCCCCTTGGGTAAATATAAATGCAAATATAGACATATGAACACACATACAGCCAATCTACTAAGTAAAATTGCACATAAGAGGTCAGAAAAAACAGGTGAAGGATTTTTTAAAGGATCTCCTTTTGCAAGGGCACACAATTCAGATCTTTTCTAAGCATCCAAAGAAGTTTAATGACTTGTGAGAGACAAGTAGCATTGATCACGATAAATCATCTCTTAGAATTGGATTACAATGGCCATTACACCCTCTCTTATATGTGCAGACTTCTCCTTACTCAGTAATTAAGCATCCCTGTAAGCAGCATGCCTAGAGGAAGAACAGGGTACGCCACTGTCAGCAGAAAGAGGAACGGACCCTTCCTGTACGTAGGACACTTTGATCTTAGCTTGATTCAGTAAAGGCTCTCTCCTTTGATCCTGATGCAGCAAGCTCCCATCGCTAATTAGAACAGATGCTCCACTTTTGTGTCCCCTATGCGGGACCCAGCCAGCAGAACAATGTTTTGGCTACAGAGGCTCTTTTAGAGTTCCTTCCTATTTCAAGGACCAAGTAATTATCTGGCAACAGATCACTCTGGTTTCATTTGTGATAGCTCACTGCTGGCTTTCCAAGTAAGCACACTTTGCTCCCTCCCCTAGCATCCATGAAGGAGTCTGTGTAGATAGTTCATACATCATGGCACAAGTGTGTAAGGCCCAGTCCCACAACCAGCATTTGCCTCCCTGCTGGGCATGAGGAGGGGAAGGCAGGTGCTGCCACACGTTTACCAGCTGTCCTACAAGGGTTGCAAACCTGAGAGGCTTCAGAATACATGAGATGTGGTGAAGCTGAAAGACATGGGCACATCTTAGCACTGTGACTAAATTGACTGAAAATGTTCCCAGCTCCCACTCACTTCCAATCTCTCTGCTAGAGATTACCAGCAAGACCAGAAAATTACCTTGGCTGACAGTGGGGGAAATGAGGACTTCCACCACCACCACTTCACATCAACAGGCCAGATTATAACACGAACAGCCAATGCACAATCACCAGTCCATGTCATCATGATGACAGGTAGTCACAGACCATGAGGACCTCAGTCTGCGCCTTCAGGAAGCACTGTGGTCACACTGTTGAAGTTGTGCAAAGGGCATGCCCTCCTCTACTGCTGGATCATCCCCAGCATTTGGTTGCCAGAAGCAACCATGCTCAGTGGGTTATCAGTGGCTGGGTTGCAGTATAGTGCGCAGAGAGGGTCTTTCCCCATCATCTTTAGTGTTGATCTCCCAGGAGCACAGAAAAAAACAGGTTTCTTTGGAGGATCATTCACACCATGAAAGTCAAGCTCCAGCCTCACTTTCTTCTAGAGGACACTCTCGACTTTGCAAGTGCCCCCAAGAGCTCTTGGCAAGTCAGCAGCATTTGCACCTGCTAGCAGCAACCTCCTGATACTCAGTGGTGTGGAAAGCTGGACTAGCATGACTTTGCATATGCAGAAGCCAGGGTACAGGTTCACTCTGCAGTGCTGGCAAACCAGGGAAGCAAATGACCAGGGGAAAAAGGTGTGAAAGGGATGAAAAAACTCAGCTGCGCGCATTCTGCATCTCTAGACCT